ACAAGGCTGGAGATAAGAGTAGCGGTGGGGGCCGCTTGTCTCAGTTGTTTAAGGGGGCGCTAGACGATATGCATAAGGTAGTGAGGAGCTCATCATCAGCTTGTGCTGCAGCAGATCAGAAAGCAGCAGCAGCAGCAGCAGCAGCAGCAGCAGCAGACCCAACCAACCCCACTACTATGGACCACGCACGACTCAAGGCAGCAGCGAAGGAAGCGGAAGCTGCTGCAGCAGTCACACAAAAAGCAGCAATTATGCTGCTGAGGCTCTGCATACACCTGCGTAAACCCCTCGTAAGGCAGCAGCAGCAGCAGCAGCAGCAGCAGCAGCAGCAGCAACAGCAGCAGAAACAGCAGCAGCAGCAGTCAGACTTTGCAAATGGTGATGCATGCATGCATCTTTAGCGTCTTCTGCGTGTTGAGTTCCTTATTGTTTTTACTTCGTGCTGCTGCTGCTGCTGCTGCTGCTGCTGTTGCTGTTGCTGTTGCTGCTGTTGCTGCTGCTGCTGCAGGTGCTGGATGCGGATATGCTGCGTATTTTATCTATCCACGGTCACGAGCACTTCCTCTCTCTGCTTGAGGGCTATGGGGAGGCAGTGTTGACCCCCAATGCATACGAGTTAGACTTGCTGCTGCAGGCGCTGCGTCGGCGTCAGCACCAGCTGCAGCAACCACCACCAGCAGCAGCAGCAGCAGCAACAGCAGCAGGAGCAGCAGGAGGAGAAGAACATCTTCCTCATAGTAGAACGCATGCATTGTTTCCCCCCTCTGTTAAGGCTGAAACACTCACACACCACATAAGAGAGACAGTGGGGCTGCTGCGGGGCCCTACAGTATTCGCAAAGGGGCGCGTAGATTTGTTGGGGGCTTATCTAGGGTATGATAGGAAAGAAGAGACAAAAGAAGAGACAAAAGGAGATAAAAAAACAGAACTAAAAAGAGACAGCAGCACAGCAGCAGCAGCAGCAGAACCACCAGCAGCAGCAGCAGCAGCAGCAGCAGCAGCAGCAGAAGAGGTTTTTGTTGCTGTCAGCAGCCTTGACGTTCGCTTCTTGGGGGCCCCCAAACGATCAGGGGGCCAGGGAGATGTACTCTGCGGGGTGATAGCACAGATGCTGGTGTGGGGGGAGAGGGGGCGGGGGCAGCAGCAGCTGCGAGAGCTGCATATGTGTGCGGAGAGTATAGGATTGAAGCTGCCTGCATGCAGCAGCAGCAGCAGCAGCATAAGCAGCAGCAGCAGCAGCAGCAGCAGCAGCAACGCAGCAGCCCAAATGTTGCTGCTGCATGCAGCTAGTCTTCTTACACGCCAGGCTGCTGCTCTCGCATTCAGGCACCACGGCAGGGGCCTCAGCGTCAACCAAATATTAGATAAACTCAATGCTGCTGCTGCTATCGTCTTTCCTAAGGCATGGCTGCAGCAGGATACACTATAAAATATATATATATATATATATATATATATATATATATATATATATATATATATATATATATATAT